ACCAGTGTTACATGAGGATTTACTGTATATAACTAAATTATAAATGTATTTCGAAGATATATATCGAAAGTGCAAAACAGATGCATTTATTAATGCAATTAACCTCGATAATATATGGATAAAATGGAAATAATCTTTCACTTTAGTCACGAAGTTATTAATCTAATGTAAAGCACATGTTCCTTTCTCTTGGGAATGATTAATTAATTCGCAAATCCAGTAAATTTCTTTAAAGTGTATAATTTTATTCTCACAATTGATCTCACGATTGATTATTGCGATATTGTACTTAAAAAAAATTGTACCCTATACCAGACAAGAGGAAATCGCGGAGGGTGCGTGCAGTTGCGCGGTGTTCCCTGTTCCGGGAACGAAGTCGATAATAGAGCACACGCTGAAATACAATGTGAGCTGCGATGAAGAAGGCGCTGAAAAGTGTCAACAATTATGTATCGCTTTAGTGAGTACACCTTCATACTATTTCCGTACCATTTCCGCTGCCTGTTTTATACATCATTTCTTCATTGACTGCGAAAAACGTACTACTTATTTTTCAATCGGGGATATACGTGTGTTAAATAATTTTAGACAACAATCAGTGATACACGCTCGAGCACGTTAGTTAGCGGTTAATCGAAGAAAATAAAGAAGTACTGAAACTAATTAAGAAATGATATCAAAACTGATATACGTTTCCGTGTTTAGGCTGAAAGTTCTCGAGATAAGACACCAATGCTGATTTGCGAGAAACAGAATGTGCATGTCGAAAATTTGAAGGTAAGCGGTATAATACATTTTACATACGTACGTGAGACAAATCTCGTTTAAAAAATTCAGAGTAGAAAAAAGCTTCTCTTTGCACGTAATCTTTATCTTCATGAAAAAGCGAACAGTGACGCATAAACACCGATTGGGGTCACGTGTGTAAACGGGAATAATAAAACCATATTATTTCGCGCGAATGAGACACGATTGCATCGCTTCGGTTATTTCGTTCTTTTGATGTTTTTTTTTTTTAGGTGGTAATTTTCACAGTAATAGAACGACGCGTTTTGTTATTTCATCTTTTTGCTTTTCACAGGTGGCCGTATATATGAAATCGTGTAACACGGCTCTGTGGACACTCACTGGTTTGGAGAGCATCGAGCCCATTTGCTGTCACGAAGGGAAGGCAGTTATTTGTGACGAGGCGATGTCGATAATAGAGAATTAACGAGCTCTCGCATCCAATTCATTATTCTCCGCTTATTTTCACCACCAACGGGTATATCTTACTATTGATTACATAATAACGTGCGCGGTGTAATTAATACAAAATACACCACTGTCTGTTATATGTTAACACCATTATACGCGTATTAATTTCTAGCTTGATATTTTCGCAATTAGTAATTTTCTGCAGATTTATAAGATTATCGTAAGAGTATTATGTACAAATAATAAAGTACGCAAACAACAATAGCAGGTCGGAATTTATGTAGAATTCAAAGAATGCCGTTTCGGGAGCACTACCCGATATGCATTTATATCCTTTGTTCTCCTCACAAAGCTCGGATGCCGAGACTGAGACTGCCAAGAAGTCTATCTGCCATTGAAGTCTCTATACAAATGCTAAAGCTCGAGCTTAAAATACAATAATATCGGTACTAACACAGTTCCGAAATGCCTGACTTTTCGCACAACGAAAAATTTATTTGCGCCCGTCAAGTTTATATCCTTATAAAGCAATCATGCAAGTTAACTTTAATTTACGAATGATAATAAATCATCAATAAAGAATAGAGGCGGAATTTATTTTACAAATAATATATATTTTTAGCAAAAAAATAACTTAATTATCATTAAGAAAGGATTTATTTTAAATATAGAATCAGGTGTACCATGCACTAATTCGCGACAATTAATTTTACGAATCCTGCTCGGCAAGTTTAAAGTTTTTTCTTAATAAAATATTGCTCGGAAAAATTACTCTATATAATTTGCGATATAAATTTAAGAATTATTAAAAGTTTCACAAGCTTATATACAACTACTTAAATTGAAAAGTTTCTCTCAAAACTTTACATTTCAAGGTTATTATTTAAAAAACTCGCAAACTTGCAACAAAGCGATGTTTTCTCCCGTGGTCTTTCCATTTAATCCTGTTTCAGTTGTTCAATTTGCCAATTCAATTCAATTCTACGTTCTCTTTTTCTACCATTCTTTTATCTATCACGAAAGCAAGCCGAACAAAACAATCTCTAATAGACATCTAATAAAATCAAATAGAAAGCACTTACAGACACTTCAATTCTTCACCAGATGTGTATATTGGATTCTGATGCCTTATATAAAATTTTAATTAGGTTTCTGCTTTATGTTACAAATTTAATATACAATAAAAATAATTAAACAGCTTCTTTTACCGCAGTTTTTAAACGATACAAAACGAAACGTGCGTTCAATAGAAATACACTGCTCTCCACATTTTTCCACGATATTACAAGCTCCGATTATCGGCAGAGATTTAATCCTACTTGTGCTCTCGCGTATCTAAAAGTCAAAGCTCAGTTCGAGGCCGAGCACGCTTGAAAGGATTACATATACGGTATTTGTTCGCGGACCCGAATCTTCTTTCGCTGAGTACAAACGCCACGGCCGATTGTACTGGGTGTATCGTCAAATGTGGAAATCGTGCGTGCCTCGACGAAGTCGATTCTCTCTTCGACAGTGATTCCATCGGACTCGTTAGTCTAATCGAAAAACGCTTTAGCATTAGGAATAACATTAAGGATCGAAAGCTTACGCCCGATCAGGTCTCAAGTGACAGAGATATAATGAGATCTTGCTTCTCAGACAATTTCCTCTTGCCCTAACGGGGATTTAATCGGCTCAAGCGCGGAAATATTGAACTCGCGTAAGCATCAATAAACGATCGTCTTCGATGAAAGTTTCGCCGAGGCGGAACAATGGATTTCAAAATTACGTTTCGAGCGTATTCGAATTCGCGCGTTCCATTCCATCCCGTATACGTCAAGCCGATCTCCGATCGAGGAACATGAACGCGGCCGCGTCCGTTGCACACCGAGACTCGAGATACCTTCTATTTCGACGATGGCGTTCTCAGAGTCTTGTCCCAGAAGCCGCCGCCATTGAACGGACGGTTTGTTATCTCTTTCCCGTCTCCACCCTCGACTTCCTGAGGACGGGTCCTCCTCCGAACTCCAACGGGCTTTCTATATAGGGCTTACCGCGGGAGGGCCATTGTGCAGCGAAGGTTTTGTCGTCCTTCTCGCTCGATTTTAATGATTGCCGCGCACCGTTTTCGAAGGCGAGCCTCGATCGCGCGATGGTCGATACGCCCAGCTTTTGCCCCGCTGCGTATCAATGAATTGGCCGGTCATAAAATATTGTTGAAAACATTTTTCTGCGAAATAAAGACATTTTCTCGCGATAAAATTGTACCTTAAATTGTCGTACGTTCTTAAAAATAATAATAAAGGAAGGATTATTATGTGAATCATCAGTGGACAATCGATAATTTTAATAAATGACTACTTTGACTTATACACGTTCACGGAGATTTTTAGATCTAATTAAATGAGTTTAGTTTAAATCTTTTTTGGATTTAACTGAATAAGGCTGTATACTGATGGTCATTTTCAATTTCTACTTAGAGATAAATCCTGTTTATGGGAATTGTTTTCCGTCTCGAATCGCGCGCCCTATAATTTTGCGATACTCCGCGCGTATAATTTATCGATAATTCAGAATTAATTCGGCAATATCTTCCTTTGCGTCGTCCACATATATCGCCGCGTCCGCGGTAGCGGCACAATTAAACGAAACGGAAATTGAGGTAACTAATTGCGAGTTTCCGGCTTTAGTCTCCTCGCCACAAGATATTACGCGAACGCACCCACGCACAAACACCCACGCTCGTTGGTATCCACCCCCGCTCGATTAAATCCTTGTTACCTTTCCACGTCCCGTCACGTGCCACGCATTGAACGTTGTAAAGGCTCGGGTGCCTCCATCGGCTCCACTATGGCGATGGCACGTGAGTCAATCATCGCCGAATATCCACATCGGCATATAGGCCAGACAGCATCCATGAATCGTTCGAATATGGAACAATCGGCGACGTATCGGTGGAACGTTAATCTTTGACAAGTGGGCTCGTCAAAATCTCTCGCTCATCTGAAAGTGTCTTTCGTAAAGTTGCATGAAATATCAGTCCTCGTAGTATAAAAAGGATGTTTGTAGTTTTTACCAAATTTTCGCTAATTACAAAGGAGGGGGTGTAAAAATCGCCATTTTTCACCCTCAACGCTATTTTGACGCACGCTTCAAAGACATTCATTTATCGCTTCTAAAATATTTTCCGCAGTTTTCTAGTGAAAAGAGTATTATTTCTTTCTTTTTTCAACCTCAAATAAGGTAACAAAGCATGTTTTAAAGGTTCCCGTTGATGGCAAAAAATGGCGATTTTTACACCCCCTCCCTTTTCTACTGATTGTCTTAACGACGCCGTTTGAAGTATATGACGTGTCGAGTCATTAATGCGAAGTCACCAGCAGAACTGGACATAATGGATGCTTTTGTACTGAAAAAGTGATCGAAATAAGCTGAGATGAAGCCGGGGGGAGCTAAGATAAAGAGAGGGTTTAAGTTCTCGCTTATAAAAAGACCATCCCACAGAAGAATCTATAATTAGATGAATTCGTTTAATAAATTATTAGCAGGAGGGATAAAAGCCATGAAGTCAATCACCGAAAATGAATGGCTGTTTGATCTACTAATGTTACACAACTGCCGGAATGCCAGAATGCCAAATATCCCATTAATTTCAGGCGAGTGCGAGTCGAGATAATTTGCGATGATAAATAAATTCACATATACAATGATCTTTATTAGTCAAATTTATAAAATTAAATTTTTCCTCGGGTATAAATTGAAAATTATACATTCAACCGAATTACTCTCACAAAAATGCAAATCGACCTTTAATAATTTAATTAATTAAATCTAATTGTTTAAACTACAAATTTCTGAGGACAAGATAAAATAATTATTCGTTAAAATTATCAATGGTCCACCGGTATGATTTTGATGTGTAATTTTTCTTTTATTTTCTATCTCTAAAAGCATATAAAAATTTAAATTTAAAATTTGGAAATATCAGATTAGTGTAGAGGGTATTGAATTTGGAATTGAAAATAATGATTGATCTCAAAAAGATAATTCATTGAATGTAAACTCGGTGCTTATCACTTTTACGAGGGGAATAAACTATATAAAATCAATATTTATACAGAGTGTCGTGTTTTCGGAAACGTTCCTTGTGGCTGGACAGATACCGATTTGCCTATATAGACGTTTTGTTTTTTCTGCAAAGAAATTAAACTAAAAAAACTTGCAGGATGTCGCAACGGAACAGAATGAACAATAGCAGTCGCAAGTTACCATGTATATAGCGAACGGCTTGTTGCGCTTGTTGTAACTTTATAATTGGAATTAAAATATCAAAATGTCTTTTGTAGATTTCGAAATTGAATTTATTCCTCGATCTCTCTGCATATATCGTACGTAAATACCCGATTATTGGCTTTAATCCGAGATTTCTGCGGAAGTTTGGCGTTCCCTCGATGTAATTTCGGTTTTCGGTATCTGGACCGGTTCAAACGTATAGGCAAGCTCCTAAGCGCACATACATCTTCCGCGACTAAGGGTATGTTTATGCACGTGTGTTTACCTATTAGCGACACGTCGGGCCCGACGGTACGTCCGACAAGCTTTGTGATTGTTCTCGCCTTGCAGTTCGCACCTTTGCATATCCATCTATGCCAAGCCCCGCTTAGCTGCTTTTCTAGCAGCTCGCGCTCGTTATCGCCCGTTATTTTCACGCATTCCAAATAAACAGGAATTTAGTTGTTTTAGCTTCTGCAACGGTAAAACTTGCGAGCACGCGATGCTCCGAAAATTCGTAATCCCGAAATTTTTGGTAAGTGCACAGCGGCATCTCGAAAATGTAACGATTTTATATCATCGCAAAGTACAACCGGAATTGTCTTAGCAAGTGGTAAAATTGATAATTATATATAATAAATGAAAACAATATATAAATAAATAAAACAGTATGATTTTTGGGGTAAAATAAGTAATCATTTCGCAAATGCGTTACGTTGCGAATACAACCCCCTTGGGGTTGAGAAGCGTCGAGTTTGATAGGACGAGCAAGACTTCCGGGAAGCATTCTGATCAATACCACGGCGCTAATCGGGAGAAGTAGCGAGATAGATAAGTCAGCAGACAGACGGACAGATAAAGAGAAGGGAGGCAAGGAGAGGGATCGGTTGCGAAGGATGCGAGCAATAGTTTGGCAGAACCCGTGAGGCTGATAAGCATGCCTGCGGGGTAGCTCCGATCCGAGAGTGGAGATTCCTGCTGCGTGAGCGCGCTCCCCCCGCTCTAGCGGCCTT